CCAATGTTATTCAACAGAACTTTAAGTTGGCCTCATTAGTATATATAATTATCATAATTAGTGTGTATAATGCATATAATTGTGTTGATTTGAGTTTATTATGTTGTCTGTACCTCGATGTGTCCTCTGAGGTTTTAAACAAGACTATGTGAAGGAAGGAAATGAGTTTAAACACTCTCATGATAGTTTGGAAATGGAAACAGAAACTAAAGCACATATGAATTTATCACATTATACAGGTGATAAAGCCATCAAACATCAGGTGACAACAACGAAGACCTCACCTGCCTTTTGTGTTACACGTGTCAATTCTCATTTAAAGTTTAGTTATTAATTCAAATGCTCCATTGAAACAAGATTTTTAAACATTTCAATATGTAAAAAAAAATATAATATCTTCTCAACGCCACGACAGTCTGTCCGACAGAAACTGAACAATCAGCGTGTGAGCACCTGTTTTAGCTCTTCATAAGGTGACAATCATGACGTTAGGGTCGTCAATCCTCTTCTCCCAGGCCAGAGCGTGATCAAAGTATGACCCCCAAGGAACTTCCCCACACACACACACACACACACACACACACACACACACACACACAACCAAAACAAATCAAACAATGAAAACAAATATTACGTCTTTAACTGTTGAAAACTGCTCCAACAAACAAAACTAATTATTAACCCCGACATCAAACACTCCAAACTTCACCGACGTCTTCCAACATTATTTGCGTAAAAATGTGGCGTAAAATAAAAGAGAGAGATTTCGAAAAGTTTAAATTTAATTGGGTCAAAATGGTTTGTAAACTGAGGTTCTTTCACTGCGTCTGGATGTTTTTCAGCCTCACACACGCACGGCTCTGCCTGAGGTGCCTGCTGGGTAATTAAAGCTATAAAGTGAAGCTCTTTACAGCTCTGTAATCTCTAGGCAGCGATGATGGTTTACAGTCACACTGGAAGAGTTATAGAGCTCAGAGTACTCCCACTATAAGTGCTTCGTACGTCTGGTCCACTTCTTTTCAGTGGTACTTATTTGTACTGTCTATGTTTTGTCTTCACGTGCACGAGGGATTCACAGGAAAGTGAGTGTGCATGTGATTCAGTGTTGATCTGTAATTCTATTTACCTCATTGTAATTTTGTCATTTATAAATTCATCTGACTGTTCACTTCCTACAAAATCAGAGGTGTATCCAGTTCCTGCTAATGCTAATCTACTACTAATTACTACTAACCCAACTACTACTACTGCTGCTCACATTAAAAGACCTCAAGTATGGGACTTTTATTGGAAGCAGACAGAGGAAATACAGATTATTTGTTAAAATATCCAACTTTACAGCAGAAATAAAACATGTTTACAGCCTGCTACAAAAATGGGTTTTGGTGTCTATAGCTATTTGTTTATATAACTCCCCTTGTTTAAATATTATTAAGGCTTAAAGTTTGAGTGACAGGTGGGCTGCCACAGTCACTAGAAGTCTGTGCACCTGGTTTTTCAGGTGAGTGAAATTATAGTATTATCTTATTTATATGTTTGGTACTAATTAGCAGTATCAGTTGCTGCACTCACCATACCTGACTCTTTAGCTTAGCTAGTTGGCTAGCTAATTGGCTACCTAGTGGGTTAACCTTTGAGCAGCGCACTCAGACGCCCAGCTGTGCTAACGATGCTAATGGAAGCGAATGCTACAGTTATTAAACCGACTTTTCTTTTCTCTTGGAAAAAGTAGCCGCTCAGCAGGCTAGTTGACTGGCGTTACCATGGGTAACCGCGCTCGCAACGGAATTCTTCAGGATTCCAAATTAAAAGACGTGGACCTGAAATTTAAATCCAAATAACATCACATCTCACATCAAATATGCTTAAATAATGATTTACTTCTTCTTCTTAATGCTCTGTGATGTGATGTTCATGAATGTGTTGCTGTAGTAAAAGAAACAAGTGGTTTCTTTTACCCCAACTGGATTTAAATGCCTCCAACATTTCCACCCTGACCCAGCTGCTGAGTTGGCCGAAACACGCTGTTTATTATCCCATAAACCCAGTGGAGCTCAAGTCACACTGTGACTGTATGTGCCAAACAAGAAGTGGCGCTCTGTGGTGGATGGGTGGGTGTAATAAAAGTCACATTTTATAATCTGGAGTGACTCCATGCCTCCTGACATCAGTTCAGATTTTCTCAAAGATTGAAATAATGTGGAAATCTGGATTCATTGATCTGATTTTGTGCTTGAGTTTATGTTGTTGTTCAGTTCTTCGTCTCATGATTCCTGGATTTAACACTTTGATTTCGAATGAAGTATAGATTTCATTTAAAAGCCCAAACTCTTCTGTGCATAAGAGCTCTAAACCATCCGCCGCTGAAAATAGTCCCCAACAAAGGCACCATTTCCTCTGGTTTGCTTGATTAAAGCTACAGTGAGCAGCTGTTTTAGGACTGACTAATTTATGAACTTTTTAACAGATTACAGCTTCAGAGCTGAGAGAGCTGCAGAGTTAGGGAGTCAGAAACTAGTGTGAGGCCGCTAATACACAGCTGGTTTTGCAATTTTCATGCGGTTCATTGGCACAAGAAAAATGATTGTGTAATCATGTTTTATGAAACACACTGGAGATCCATAAAAAAGATGTAATTTACCTCCATACAGTCTCAGTTTCAAGGTCCTGAGGACACAAAGAACAATTCTAGAAAATCTTCCTCTTGTTGTAATAAAACAAAATGTTTAAAACATCAAATGTGATCCACAATAATCAGATGCAGCGACCTAATAATCAGCATCCAGTAAAATTTCTTTGGCTCGAGATTTATTTACCGTTCTCCACTCAGGAAGTGAGAGTAGAAGTATTCCAGGACTGGACTGGAGAGGACTGGGTTGTTGATGGAGAAGTGATAGAAGGAACCAGAGTGTCTTGGGCATTCCTGAAGATCACCAGCATCTGTACGAGACGTGATTGTAAAACATAAAACACATCAATTACATTTACATTTCGACTGAAACTGTGACAAAGAAAGAATAGAGGAGTAGGAAAATCATAAAATCCTAAATTAAATTTAAAAAATGTGACAAACAAAAGAATATGAGAATAAACTAATGATTTGAACTCAAACCAGCCTTTATTTCCTATTTGTGACGTGACTCTGACCTCTTGACCTCTCTCTGTGTCATCTGTTGCTACAGTTAAAACTTACCTTGGTTTTCTTTGCATAAAAGGAGAGGGGATGTTGTCGGGATGCAGGTGAGTCCCCAGAAACCTGGGAGAGGGAGTTTTCATCCACCGTCTGAGAGGAAAGTGTTCGACATCAGCCGATTACTTATTTTGTTGCACGTGAATAAAACCAAAACCACACGTGAACCCCAGTCTTTAGATCAACGTCCCTTTCTATTAAAATGTCATTCAGAAAACAGATCGTCAGCATATAAACATAATTCAAAGTGACAAGAGTTTTAACCTTCACCTGAACCCCAATTACAACAGTTCTTCATGACATGAACATAGATTTAGTCTTTTGCTGAGTCAGAAAGGAACAAGTACCCTGTTTATCTGCCCGGTAGGAGAGGAAGGAAAATAAATTAAATAATACCTGACACTTTATTTGTTTATTTCCTATATATTTTTGTGTTTTCTCTCTCCCTCTTTCAAACCCTTCCCTCTCAATAAATAAAATATATAGAAGTCACCTCAATGTTCTCTGTAATAGTGTGGTCATCATGTCACGTAGTCACTTAACGTTACGTTAACGTACTTACGTTCAGTTTACCTTGTTAAGTAATCACGTTAGTTACGTTACGCTTGTTGTTATGTCATGTCATAGTAGTTAAATTTACGTTATTACCATCTTGTTATGTTCATATTATGCTTCATTTTTTATGACTTGTTATTTTGTTATTTTATGTTACGTATGTTATTTTATGTTATTTTATGTCTTGCTAGTGTTTTGTAAAATATTGTTATCACTTTTCTTTGTCTTTATCTTGCTTCACAACAAATAAATAAAAATAAATAAATAAATAAATGTAGAGTTCTAAGTAGAAATGTGACACTAGAAAACACACAAACAGGCAAAACATTTGTTGGAAATAGTTCTGAATACAACAGCAAACAAGACTGTTCTGACCTTTGGATTATGTTTAACTGCCCCCCCCCCCCCCCCCCCCCCCCCCCCCTGTTTTTTTTCTCCCCCCCCCCCCCCCCCCCCCCCCTCGTGTAAATGCTAAACTAAGCTAACCAGCTTCATGTGGTTTCTCTGTATTTTAACAGCGCAGAGTTCAACACATGATTAATCAGACCACAGCAAACTGTTGACGCACACACACACACACACACACACACACACGCTGCCTTGATGAGGTGTGGTTGCACTGTTTGAACAGCAGGGAGGATGTGATGAGGCGGGAACACACAGGAACAAAGCTGCAGGTTCTGGTTTTAAATGGCTGGTTAAACTGGTTAAAATGGTCACAACACTGGTTTCTTTTAATGGGAAATGATGGTGGTTATTTTAACATGATGATGATGATGATGAAGATCAAATCATCATCAGTGTCTGAAGAAAATCCCAAAGAACACAGTTTCTACAAATGTATATGTCCAAAAAAATGTCTTGATAAAAAAAGTATATTGTAAAGCATTTGTATAAATTATGGATATTTCTCTTTCTCACTATATTTCATGACACATTATTAATGAATTCTCGAGGTGTTTTAAAGTGTCGTGAGCCCCGCTAACAAAACTACTCAGAGGCAGAGGAAACAAAACCAAAGTTTAAACCAAAATAATTAGTTAAAAGAGGCTGAAAGGTGATAAAACTCTGACGGTTCATAACGAAGATCCACAACTTTTACTTTACACCAGTCTTCATTCACAGCTCTTTGTTAGATAACATCTGACTTCACACAAACACAGACAGACTTTATCTCTGTCTGTCTACCTGCACACACACACACACACACACACACACACACACACACACACACACACACACAACCAGCAGGTACCTTTAAGACGTCTGGTCCAAAGAACTCGATCAGCGGCGGCATCCTGGACTCAGTTTTCACCCCCATGGACTCTGCAATGATCTTCCTCACCACCCCCACCATCCAATTAAAACCTGGGCACACACACACACACACACACACACACACAATGTCTCATTGACTCACAGTAACAGCAGATATAACACACACAGAGCCTTGAAGGGGTTAAAGGATTTTAAAGTTGTGGGCTGTGGGAAGAGAGTTACTGGTTAAAGGAGACATGTCATACTGTATGGAAGTGATAATGACTGATGAGGCCGTGCGATATAAGAGAATAATGGACCTCCTGGAGGGTTCCTTGTTGCCGGGCCCCTGTTGACCCCCACTATACATGGCAGCTTCATTATTTCCCCCCAGGCACCGGAGACCAGCCAGAACTCCGAGCTTCAAGTCAACAAAATATTTGGTGCCTGTGAAACACTTTCCTGATCTGAGCATGAGCACATGATCAGACAATATTTTTCCTTTAATACTGTATAAATGCACAATGCACAGTTAATAAATCAACATTATTGTTGTTAAGTTTCCTGCTAAACGACCATAAATCCACACCAACACACACACACAGGCCTGTTTTCAGTTTAGCCCCTTTAACCGAATGTTTCTATTAATATCTTTGCACTAATAAAGCATAGAAATATGATTTAAATGTTGTTAGAATCTGTCGACTCTCCACTTTCCTTTACATATTTTTTTGAGATCATATGTGACTCACAGCCTCTAAATACTGGTTAAAGTAGAGCGACAGACTTTCATTTTAGGTTTTTATTCTCCATTCATCTACTATTTTACCCACATGTTGCTCTATTTTTATGAACCTACAGACTTTGCTGAACATATTTCAACTCGTCCACATCAGTAAAGGTTCGTTTTCACTAAATATTTGAAGAATTTCAAAAACTAGGTGTCAAGTTTTCATCATTTGGGCCGAATGGTCTGTTTGCACGGTGAGGAGCCTCGTTATAGAAAAGAGCTGAGGTTGTTCTCAACATCGTGAAATAAAACACTTGGGTATTATTTATATGGTCAGGTGAATGAACACAAGCGGCAAAAATGAGGCCAAGAACCAGAAGCTGCAGTTCCTCTAATGACCACTAGAGTCTGGCTCCAACAGTGAGTCAGTCCCCATAGACTCCCATGTTAAAATGTCCAACTTTACAGCAGAAATAAACATGTTTACAGCCTGGTACAGAAACTGTTTTGGTCTCTAGAGCTAATTTCCTCCTTCATGACACCTGTTTATATAACTCACCTGTGTATATAACTCACCTGTTTATATTTTATCGAGGACTAAAGTTATGGAAGATTGAGGGCGTGGCCTCTTTGAGTGACAGGTAGGTGAGCCTATGCTTGCCACAAACTTCTCAGCTCCACACAAGCCCCTCCTCTTTGCCTATTTTTTTGGATTATCTGGGAGTTAGGGGCGGAGTCAGACACTGCCAAGATGGCGTCATTGGAGCAGGTCACTCTGAGCTTCAGAAACCTGTGGGTGACGTCACAGAGGCGACGTCCATCTTTATTTACAGTCTACGATTTAGCAGCAGCTGTCTTCTTCTGAATGTTTTTGTCTGAACTCGTTTTAAACTGGATGCTAATGCTAAATAAAAGTTTTTTAAACCTGAACTCTCGATACTTTCGTTTCACTGGTTTTCCAGCAGCTATTTCAGCAAGCAAACCACTTTAACAGTTTGTTTACGTTAGCTCACTGCTAACCTTTCTGCTCATGCTAACAGCTACAGCTACAGCACATGCTGTTCAGGTGTTACAGCTGATTCCATACGTGGATATTTACATGCACCCATGGTAATTACAGTAATTTGATGGTACAAATTAAATCATTTGTTAGCACGGATTTATTGTTTTTCTGCATCACACCCTCTGGGCTTCACTATGAGGGCTGGATTTTACAGTTAGACACAGTAGGAAGTGCCCGGGGCTGAGAACTCCACTACACCTGATCTCAGAGACATGTTATCCGATCAAACACAACCACAACGTTTCATCTTGTTTCTTTATGTTCTTTGGACAGACTGACGCTTTAACAGCAGGTAAAGCTTCTTCCTGGGGTGACGGGGAATTGTTATGTGATCTAAAAATGTCATCAGGGAGCGGAAACTGTGAGCGGCTTTAGATTCACGTCGTGCAACATGCACAGAAACCAGTGAAGGGGTGAAATATTGCAAGGCAGTAAACAGCAGGAGACTATAAATGTGAGAGTGTTGGGGTGAAGGTCGGGCTAGTCTTCCCCTATCTCCGTCATATATCACCCAGATGTCAAGAAGCCATTATCTGTGGCAGTCGGCCGTGTAAGGCTGATTAAACTGCCTGTAACGTCAAGAGGGGACGTTCGGAGGCCTCCCATTGGCTCCACTCACGAGGGCATGTATAGTCTCACACCCATAGATAAATAGCTCTGTCATCTTGATGTGGGCCCCAGTCTAAACGGGCCCCTATATGCAATGGAGATGTGGGGTGGGTGTGCGTAATCTAGCATTCCTCCAAAGGTGATTAACTCGTCTGTCTTCGTGTCGTGTCTGCACCCACGAGCTGCCGTGCAAAAGCCTTTTTGAAAAAGTAAACACTCCCCTGAAAAGAAAACATGTCACATTCCTCAAACGCACCGCGGCGACAGCAGGAATGTCACGCTCCTCTTCCACTGACACCAAACTGTGAGCGCTGTGTGCAGCAAACAGGAAGATGCTTTTAAATATCAATGAATCAGTGCCACGTTCCCTCAGGTGACAGCACAGATTTAAAGCGCCAGAGTACCCAGAATTCCTGAAAGTGATGTCAGTAAAGTGGTCACTGAAGGGAGCGAGGTTAAAGCGCTCACATGTGGCTGATTTCCCTCCTTTGTATATCCGTAAATCTGCTGTATTTTTATTGGATCACTCAGAAAACAGTCAGCCAATCAGGAGAGGCTCAGAGCCTCCTCTCTTCTGATTGGCTCACTGACCTGTTGTTACTAGAGCTCCAGAGAGAAGCCTGAGAGAGGAGATGTAAAACTACACTGAGATGGTTTTTATATCTTCTGATGGATCAACACTTCAAATAAAACACAGAAGAAGAAGACAGATGGAGCTTTAAAAACATCAGGAAATCATAAATACAGGGTCCTAATACCATCATTGGGGCAAATCATGTTGTGTTGAGTTCCTGACTTTATATAATAATGATAATAATAATAATAATAATGTGGAATTTCAAAGAGTAAAAAATCCTGTAAACTTCCACCAGGAGCATGATGGGAAAGAATCTCAAAGGAATGTGGTCGTAGTCTTGCAAATAGTGACCCTGCAAGATCCCCAAGTCTTTGCGAAACCTGATAGTGTGAAACTAAAATCTCATAGAACTCGTAAATATCAGAATACATTAAATATAAAGCCTCAACCTGGAGACGGTTTGTTCATCTTAACACTGCAAAAAAATCCTCCTACCAGCTCCTCTGAACCTCTGTGGTTAATATTTTATCTGTTGTTTGTTTAATCCGAACTGGAAGAGATAAAGATCAGGTAAAATTATAGTAATAAGTATTTCACAATAAAAGATGATAAAAACCTGTAGCAGAAAATATGTGACTCCAGTCTCCACACGATTCATCAGCTAATCAATTTAGTACATTTTGGTGTCTGAGTGTCCTTGAATGCACCAACATTCAAATTCAAAGGTTTTCAAATTGAGTGCAGTGCCACAAAACAAAAGCCTTAACCGAACTAGTAAGTAAAATCAGACCTGGGGGGAAGGAGACGGATCTAACCCCGGGGGGTTGCTTGGTGCATGTTTCTGCCTCCTGCTCTCTGCAGATGTTTGTGGGCAGTGCTGATTGTGGAATGGGCAACAGCTCATCAACCCAAGTGGAAATTAGGAGCCAAACAAAGCGGAAGATCATTCCCTGTAATCACAGCAGCGTGTCCAGTGTGTAACAACAGGAAATATATTCCTGCATTCAGTTATTTATTTATGATGATTTATTAAAGAAATAATCCGATAAGATTTTGGATTTTATTTTGGATATGCTAATTCAAAGCAGCACACTGGAGCTATTTTATGACAAACAACAGTGTATAATTATGGCCTTTTATTGTTTTTTTTTAACAATGATAACAAAGATCTATATTATTCTGAAGACTTCAGGAAGCTGCAGCAACTGTTGTTCAACAAGAAATAGTCCCAGCACTCAAACAGTTTTAGAGCTGTTGGTCGGTGCGTTGGACAGAGCCATGCTAGCTGTTTCCCCCAGCTTTCAGTGCTTATGCTAAGCTAGGCTAACAGTCCTGAACTCCAACTCTATTGAACACCCAGACGTGAGATTTATCCCGTCTGTGCCCTCAGACAGAAAGTGAATTATATTGAATTATTCCTTTTAAAAGCACCTTTTTTTCCGAAGTTTAAATAATTTCTAACATTTTTTAACATCTGTAACTTTTTTTTATTTTCTTTAAATAAACAAGAATGAATTATTTTCCTGTGAAGAGGATGGTTCAGTGATTCACCTCCAGTTGCTCAGCTCAGTGTGTTGGTGGGTTACAGAAACTTTACTGTCCAGACAAGATGCAAACTTCAGTTAAATATTTTCCTCTGGCAGCGGAGCGGCCGATTTGCTTGAGTTGATGTTTGTTAATTGAGTTCGTTAGAACAATTTAACAATTTGATTTTGTCTCCGAAGTAGAAAGAAATTAATATGAATTTTCATCCATTAAAGGAGAAGTTGGTTTTTGAAGATTCACAGGCAAAAAGATTTAATTATCAGACACATATATAAGTATGTAAGTCGTTATCTTCATTTTAAATACAATACGCAGCTGCAGTAATCTAACAGGAAGGCTCTACGTTTCATATTTACACTGTAGGTAGTTAGAAAACCTTCACTTTCCCCAGTGTTACAATCATTAACGTTACAGCCAGAGGAAGGGTGGTCAAAGGGCAGAGCGTGGAGACGGTGGGCCCCTGGGCACAAACATGTGAGGGGCCCCTCATCAGTCGTCACACCGACCGCCACATCCCGCCCTGCTCCTCGGGTTACGTTTATTTCACTGTCATTCATCGTTTCCTGTTTTATTTTGATAGACTCTCGTTTCAGATCCTTCACTTCCTGCCCTTGTGATGTGTTTCCCGCCACGCCTTGATTAGTTCCACCTGTCTCTCATTACCTCTTAAGAGAGGTCATGTGACTTTCTGCAACCTCTGCACAACATACAACATATGAAACTCAACATGTGAACGTGAGAAGTAGGTTTCACCTTCTTCAACCAGCTCGAGTCGTCTCGTTCACCTGAACGGAGCCGGTTCGTCTTGACGCAGCAGCTCGTTTGGCAAACAAGTTGCACCAGATTCAACTTGCTGTGGCACGTTGGCGAGGCAATGCGTCGGCCAATCAGACGCATGCAATCACACATCAGTAGACTTCTTTCTCACGTGAAGACAGTATCTCTACAGTCGCAACCTTTCGCCACCGTAACAACTCTGCAGATGTAAAATACGTCTCTGAGTTACCGCCACCGTCTCCTCACGAGGACGTGCAGCTCTGATATAAAGGAAAAATCTACAACAGCAAGTGTTGGGTTGATTACAGTTATAAATATTAAAACACTGATCAGGATCGGGAGCGGAACAGAAACCTCAATCATCCCAACTTTAACTCTGAGCTCTGTGATGTTCCTCTAAGAAAATCTCCACTTCAAACTAGAAGCTCTGACCCAGGGCCCCTGATCCATTGGGCCCCTGGGACTGCACCTAGTCAGAATATTCAATAAAACTCTGCACAGGTCAGAGGTCACAGCATCCTGAAGACAGATGGAGCCAATTCTCCTGCAGCCTCAAAAACTTAAGACAGTTCTAAAACAAAAAACTGATCGGCTTCTGCTGGAGAAAACATTTTGTGGTCGGCTCACCACCACTCACCACATTTGGGATAAGCCACGAGCATGATGTCATCCTCCCTGGCCCTGATGTTTTCCAGCGCCTTCAGATGGTCCTCGGGGCACATGATGCTCGGGTACAACACCCCGTTGTATCTGTACAACTTCTCCTCATCGCTCATCTCCTTCGCCATCTGCATCCTGGACTGCACCTTGGCGAGGAAGGCGCTGCTGCTCATCCTGAGTCCGTACCGGTGTCCAGAGGAAGAGACGGCAAAGACGGTGATTCAAGAGTTGTTTCAACTTTACAAATAAAAAGGAAAAAAGAAAAACAGAAATCACAGAGTGGAGCAGGAACACGAGACGCTGAGCTGCTGAGTGTCCATCTGCTGCTGCCCTGCGAGCGAGCGAGCAGCACTGAGAGAGAGAGAGAGAGAGAGTATGTAGTAGTAAAGGGAGGAGGACGCACCAAGCACCTCCTCCTCCCCACACACACACACACACACACACACATGCAGGAAATGTGTGTGTATGTGTGTGTGTGTGTGTTTATGTGTGTGTGTGTGTTTATGTGTGTGTGTGTGTGTTTGTGTGTGGAGGTGTGACTGATGGGAGATGCCTGTACAATGTTCGCCAGATGGGAGGTGCATGTTGACAGACTGACTGCAGACACCACTTTCTCCTTCACACACACACACACACACACACACACACACTGTTCAGTTCAGCTGCAAAAAGAGCAAATTACATTCATTAGAGACCAGTTACAATCATCATGTTGTTTCCATGTGCAGCAGCTCATGATCTTATTGGTCCTTCCAGACATTTACAGCAGCAGCAGCAGCAGCGGTGGCGGTGGCGGCGGTGGCGGCGGTGGCGGTGGCGGCGGCGGTGGCGGTGGCAGCCTTCAAAAATCTCTAAGAAGAAGAAAAGAAGAGGAAACAAAAACTTGGATATAAGTAAAGAAACAGGAGACGCCTCCAGAGAGAGCCACTTCCTCAAACAGTCGGGGGTGAAATGGAAACCTTACCAACAATGAGAAAAACGTTCCTCAGTGTCTTCAGCGTGTGTTCCTGTTGTGTCAGTCTCAGTCCCATGTTTTCCTTCAAGGATCAAAGGATTAAAAAAATCTCTAACTGGTTTCCTGGGTGATTCACTGCTGCACTCGCAGTGTAAGATCGCTCAGAAGTCAAAGCAGCAGAGGACGAGTCCTGAATGTTAGTCCTTCGTATGGATCTTCAAAAACACTGGACCCTTCGTTTCCCATAATGCAACTTGATAACATCTTCTGCCTGGTGTACACCCTCAGATGTGAAATTCGAAACCTGTTTCCTAATTCATGGGCTGCATTCTTCAGAGGCTCAGTTCGTCCTCGAGTCCTGGTGAACGTTTGTGCCAAATGTGAAGAAGTTCCCTCGAGGCGTTACAGCGATATCGCGTTCACAAGGCCAAAACCGTGTTTTGCGGGGTCACTGTGACCATGACCTTTGACCTTTGTCCGCCTAAATCTAATCAGTTCGTCCTTGAGTCCTAGTGAACGTTTGTGCCAAATGTGAAGAAGTTCCCTCGAGGCATCACGGAGATATCGTGTCCACGAGAATGAGACGGAGGGAGGGACAACCTGAAACCAAAAGGGCTGCCGCTCTGACTGTCGCCGGCGAGGAATAAAAATCAGGTGATGGAGAAAAGTTTGTGTGTATTTGAAAGTTACAGTAGCTTTGTCTGAAAGGTCCTTCAGCCTCCGTCACACACACACAGCTGGGAAGTGAGTGGAGGTGCAGACAGGGTCGTCCACTTCACAAACACCGACACTGAATCCTCCACAGAGGCGAAGAGGACGAGGGTTCAAGTCCTGAAGGGATGTTAAAAGATAAAGTCAATGTTATTTTATCATTTTATCATCAACAACAAGTTTCTCTGAAGATATGACAAAGACTTTATGCAGCTGACACGTATGTGTGTGTGTGTTTGTGCTTTTAATGTTCAGCTAACCAAACACACACTTTATCATCTTAAACTGAAATGATTTTCTTAGTTATTATGTGCTTTTAATTCTCTTCATGTGATCTGGTATTGATCAATAATACCAGCCTCATCCATTAGTTTATGTAATACTGATAATGATGATGATGATGATGATGATGATGATAATCATTTCAGACTCACAGTGTTTTTCCTTTTCCTTCTGACCTTATCAAAACTAAATATGTAGAAAGGCTCTGAAACTGTTTTCCTTCCCTTTTGCTAAAGGTGATAAAATATGCAAATGACCATAAAGTTTTCCTGCTGCTTTCACACCAGACAAGGTTTATTTCATATTTGATTTGCATGAATAGACAAAGAAGCTGACAGCCTGTTTCAGAGAGGTCTCACTCCCTGTTAAATCCAAATATAAATATAAAGAGTTTGATTTTACAGCTGATATTCCCAAACATGTCATCAGTTCAAAATCACGTTTAGAAGCAGTTCCCATGAAATCAGGTTGAATTATGACGTTTAAAGTCGCTGAGGACAAACAGCTTTAAGGTTAAACGATGAGGGAAAAACAAAGGTTGTGGTCTGAGTGGGAGCTCCGGGAGGAGACGTTAACTTCACTGTGATACTGTAAATCCGAGTACTAACTGTGTGTATTACTGCGCCGCAGGAACCTCCATCTGGAAACAATCTGACTGATGAAAACATTTCTGGCTGGATCTGCTGACACATCACAGCGAGCTGCGTTCAATCATCTCTCCGTTTACAGCCTGAACGCCGCGTTTTGACACGTTATTATCTGACAAATCTACACACTGATGGTTCCTGAGGTTTAAAAGCTGCACTTTCTTTCTTCCTCTAACACTGTGGATTATGAGCAGAGGTATTTTAAACGCCGCTGTGGCAGAGGGGCATTTATCTGAGGGTTCATGGACGTGGCAGGAAACAGATCCAGAGGACGTTGAAGGCTGGTGGAGAAAATACGTCTGAAAAACTTCCTCCACAAAGCAAAGAAATAAATAAATATCCAACTCTCTGTCTTATTCTTTTTGTATCTCTCATATCTGTATTTGTGCATAAGAAACCAATTTAATGATCTTTTCTTCTCTGTTTCTGTCGCTCTCTGTCCTCAGATATCACTCTTTCCTGCCTTTCCCACCCTCTTGCCTTCACTCTCTCTCTCTCTCTCTCTCTCTCTCTTTCTATACATTTCAGTGTCGGTTGCCCGGGGTCCCACTCAGCTCAGGGGCCCCACACTGTCACTTGAGAAACTGTTGCAAACAAAAATCTCCATTCACCGCCGCACAAATGAGCAACCACATATTCAACACACACACACACACACACACACACACACACACACACACACACACACACACACACAAACTCAGCTTTGACAGCAATGCCCATAAACACACACTAACATCACCACACACAGTTCTATAGGGCCTCAGACATAATACACACATTTCCACGCTTGAATCTGTCACGCTTCTTCTTCTTTCTCTCGGACTCTTTGATGACACAAATCATTTTTGAAACCCTGCTGACTTCGCCTGAAGACCGTCCAACAGCCTCACTGCAGAAGCTTGAGGCACTTTTCATATTTAGACTCTTACCCATCATGCAACATCATCAGGAGCAGGTCAAATGTGACACCATAGTTTTCACAGACCCTGAACACTTCCTCCTCCTGCTCCTCCACCGCTGAGGTGTCAGAGTCTTACCGACAGTGAAGGCCGACGTTGCTGCCGGTGGCATCACGGCCCACATCAGGCCCAGCTTTGGGTTGTACATGATGAACTGTGCCGATGATGAAGGTCCCGCCAGCACAGATAGCTGTCACTAGATTTATCGCTAGATGCTTAAAAAACAAGTCGCTAAATGTGTCTGAAAAGTCAGTACACCTACACTGTAAAAAAATCCTAATTTTACAGAAACTACTTCTTTTTATTAAGCAAACTTAATAAAATTCAGCTTCAACTTCATCCACAACTATCTTTTGATTTTAAATAGTTTAAATGTCAGTTTGAAGACATGTTGCCTCTTGTTTTATTAAAAAAAACAACACAGAATATGAGATATTTCCCACATAATACATGATGGAGGGACGTGACATTGTTTTATATGAGAGTCTTTTATATCAAGACATTTCTCAAAACCAGAATATGATCAGGGTGACTTTTAAACACTGGAAATAAATCATGTACTCATCCCGGCAGTAGCCCCCGTGGCACTCAACATTTCCCTGGAATTTTCTAGTTGTAACTTTATGTTTTCGCTTGAATTTCATTTCCACCCTCAAGATTACTTAAAAAAAATATCTTTTGGCCAAAATCTTAAATCTACATTTAGTATTAATTTGTTTGATTACGTCAAGTGTTTACAACGAATGTTCTTTAGCAGTAAGTGTTATCCGACATTTCTCACGTATGTCCAGAAGGGGGCAGTGACTCGCCAAGCAAACTACTACAGAAAGAGGTGAAGAAGAGGGAAGAGACTTCCTGCTTCCTGGTCCGGAGCACAGACTGTATAAAAGAAAGGACGTCAACTCCGAGTCTGGAGAATGAAGCCGATGCAGAAGTTCGTTAAACTTGCTTTCTCTCGAATGACCATCATGGTGACTCCACAGGTTGCAAAAAGAAGTCCGATTATATTTAAGTCTATGGGAAAATGACCCCACCTGTCACTTGATTTGTTACCTCCGTAAACGTTTTCATTACGTGTTTATGGTCTGAATCACAGTTCAGGTGAAGATGCACCTTGCTAACCAAGCTAGTGCTAGTGCTAGCGTTAGCTGATAACTTAGCGATTGCTATGCTAACGGTACCTGGCCCCGCTGGGCTGATAACCTGTGTCAACCTGGGTTAGCCCGTGGAGGTGTTCAGTCAAAGCCCAATAAAAAGGTGAATTTAATGGACGTTAATCTAACGACGTTTGGTTTGTGTTTCTCCACATGTGACCCAGTTTAAGTGATCTGCGTTAGTCTAATGCGCAGCGTTAATGTTGGTTAATACATTGTCCATCAAGACGTCGTGATAGTTCAAGTTAAGATAACGTGACGTATAAAAATGTGTAGACAAATATTTGTCATGTAGAATATTGTTCATTTAACAGTCAAACCAGTCCTCAACTGAAGCAGACATTCATGCACCTATCCTGACAGCTGATCGATATTTGTGATTAACTGTGATCCACCGCATCTTAACTCAAGTGTTTGTGTTTTATTGTCATTTGAAAGGTTTCCACACTGTGAAAACTGAGTGATCTGTGCCAACAGAAGGAGGACCTCATGTACAGAGCAGCCCATTTGTTTCCATTCATCTGGTTGTGGAGAAGGGAGACTGCATGGACATCCTTAGTTCTCTAATGTGCTGTGATGATGATGATGGTAGAAAACCTCTCCCAGTTC